CATTGTTATTATTATTATATATACAGTATTAGCAAATATACATTACATAATTGTACATTACATACATACATACAAATATACATTACATAATAGTACATTACATAAACGCTCGTGTTTTACAAATGTACCGTCTCGTAATAAATCAATAATAAATAATAATAGTAATAAATTAATAGTAATAATAAGTATTAAATCAATAATAGTATAGCAGAGCATATAAATCACCGTGATTTACATGCTCTGAGTATAGTATATGAGTAAAAGTGCAACAAATAAATTTTTTAATTCATTTCGAATTCTTTATTCATTCATTCGTTTAGTAATTTTATATTGATTAATTGAGAGACAGTACATTGGTAAAAGATATATCAACATAAGCTTGCGAAGTATTGTAAAGTACTTGTATGTAACAACTAACAATGTGAATGGCTGGAGAAAGACCAGGGGGGGAGGTCAGCATATATGTACGTCATTTCTAAATAAGCTCAATACAGAAAGAAAAGCCGTTTCAATATGAGATCCTGAGTCAAGAACACATGCAGCAATGGTGACTACTAGACGCGTGTCAAGGTCGGCTAGCTCAAATTTCACGTACACGCAGTTGTATCATGTTACGTATATATGTATTTCCCGCAGACTGATGTGTGCAGACATACACGACAGTACGGTACCCCCAGAATCGTTACACCATGCTGCTGCATGTATGCTCAACTTGTATCAAATAATCAAAATGTTTTTTTTCCAACAGTAACACTTTTAATTAAGAGAGCGCTATACGCAACGGTAGTACGACATGAAAGAGCTCTAGCTAGCTATCCCACGCTTTTCACAAAGCTTCCACACAACACACCAATTACAATTCTACTTCCAATTAATCAACGCAACAGTATACGAGCGTTATACACATTGTGACAGCTTCAGTGTGACAGGGGCCCGTTTCACGAAGCTATCGTAAAAACACCATCTTAAGGATAACCTTAGAATTCTTGTACGAGAGCCTAACGCTGTCCTAAACGTCCCTCGTTAAAGTCCCTGGATAACACTTAGCGCTATCCGAGTGCAGTGTGTACAAAGTGTGTACAATTCACTGGTACAATTACGGTTGCGCAATCACTTGCCGTGTGTGTGCGCCCCCTGCCGGCGTGACCGCGGCGGGTGGTATTGCCTGTGCCTGTGGCATTGCCTCGCTATTACGCGAATGTCTTTTCGACGATGTAGGTGCATGTTGATGTCATGCAGGCAGACACTGTGTATTGAACTGAGAAGCAATCGAAATAGTTTTTTTCTTTAATTAAATAATACACTCAAGCAAGCGAGCCCATAGCCCAGAGAAATTTGAACTGGTGATCGTCTAAGCAATAGTCTAGCTTCCCCCTTTTACATGTGAACAGGATTATGAACATCATCTGTAATATACAGCTTCCCCGTTGTACATGTGAAGTGGATTCAAAACATCTGATCACCGGTTTGTTCGTGCTTTCAACTTGTTTATGAGTTACAGCAACCAACACCCACGCGCCCGTGTATATAATGAACATATGCATACTAAAGCACAGTAGTATGAGGGGGGGGAACGGGTATTTTCGGGACGCGCGATTGGCCATTTTAATTACCTGGGAACTGGGAAATGTC